GTTTAATTATCGATTTCATATTTTGACGTATTTTTGATTAACAAGCTCAACGATTTCAAAGCGAGCAATGGCAACACTGTACGAAAGAAAAAAACATTTTTATCTCCATGACGCGAGACTCGGAAATTCTGAATTCAGAATATGGCGAACAGAAATATGGCGAATATTATTTCGCCATATTTCTGTTGAATTGAATTTTATGGTTTAAGTGCGAAGAACCTGATATTTAACAAATAAAGTAACACACAAAACGTTTAAAAAAAAAAAAAAGGTCCTTTGGGCGCAATGTAAAATATGAAAACTTTCAGATTTTTTGGTCCAAAGGGACTTCGTCCCTGAACGACTGTTGTTTTCGTTTTGCGATTTTGCGTCGAATCACCATAAACGGCGAATCTCTTTTCAAACTGTTGCCACCAAATGTTAAGAGTCCTGCATTATATTTGAAGAAATTAATGAAAAATCTGCATAAATGTATGTATATTTCTTGTATTGTGATAAAACAACGGTACATAGAGCCATCGAATTTTGAATGACGTAATTCTTCTACGAATATGGGCATGAAATATGAAGACCAAATTTGGAATTTGTTTTATTATCGATTACATATTTTGTAAAACTTTAATGAAGTTTTGATTATCAAACTCAAATTCAAGGATTTCAAAGCGAGCAATGGCGGCATTGTACAGTAAAAACATTTTTAACTCCATCGCGCGAGACTGTATCGGAAATTCTAAAGATAGGCTCAATTTCAAACTATTTTGCGATATTGCTCTTGAACTGAATTTTATGGTTTAAGTGCGAAGAACGTGATATTTAATAAATAAAGGTAACAGACAAAATGTGAAAAAAACGCCCCTTTGGACATAATTTAAAATCTGAAACCTTTCAGATTTTTATTATTATTATTCTCCCCCCCCCAGATGCATAATCTTTCTTATAAAACTAAACTTTCTGAAGAGTATTCAACAATGTTAAAAATAGTCAAAATACAACAATAATATCAAAAACGCGGGAAATGGAGTAGAAGTCTCAACAGCAGTCTAATACAAATTCCTATTTTATATAATAAAACTCTTAAATTGTTACTTTTAGTGTCGATAAATAATTTTTAAGTACTTCAAGTGCGAAATAAGACAGTAATATAATAATTTCCAAAAATATCGGCAGGTAATTTAGTAGCTAAAAAAAAAAAAATACACGTGAATAATTTCAGTTCGCAGGTAATGCATACATCTATCGGAGATTAACATACTATGGGATCATGTGTGATTAAATTCATGCTATAAAATATGCATGTAATGCTGGACTTTTATCATCTGTATTTGATGAGAAGCCCTCGACTAAACTAGCATCAAATCGCATTGGCGAACAAAGGTTAACAACCTTCAGAACTTCTCATTCCAGTTTAGGAAACTGAAAGCAAAGAATTCTCGTTTGGATTCAAAATGGCGACAAACGCAAGGTAACTTGTACTTTTTTGGTCGTAAGGGTAGAAAATTAACAAATTGAGTTTATTCATGATTTTGAATGTACATATTTTTTAATAATTTAAGAAGATTTTAAAGACACTTCTAGGAATAATGTTTTAGTTCAATATTAAAAATACAGAAGACTTAATCATGTTAATCAGTAGCAAAGTTTATATCTTATTTATTTAATTCTGGAACATTAATTTCTTGTTAAATAATTAGGAATACATAAATAAAAAATTATGAACTTTGATGTTTAACAGTGTGTCTCACGGTTCAGAATGGCAATTTTTAAGACGGTAATACAATTTAATACCTAACAATATTATCATATCTCCTATCAGAATAAGCAAACCTATAAAAATGACACACTAAGAATAAGTGAAAATACTTAATAGTCTTGGTAAGAAAATTCGATTTTATAATAACAGTAAACATGCAATGGTTAAATATTTTAACACAAGAAAGCAATATTGAATGTATACTACATTTTACTGCATCAAAAGTGTGCTATTTAATAGTTAATTGTTGAAAATAAATATATCTACTGAAAAATCTGAAATCCTGATATTATACTGAAAAACCTTGGAAGAGGTCCAAAGAATTTTTGAAGAAAATCTGCTTGTATTAACAAAATCTACATCAGTTTACAGACAAGCCAGTTTGGGAATTTTTTACATCATAAAAATGACTTTTCTGAATAACTGAGGCTAGCAGGAAATATTAAGTTTAGAAACCTTAAAAATCCTTTTATTGGCATTTGCAATATGCATTGTTGTAAGAAAACTTTGCTTTACCTCTCATAATTATTTTTATATATTTAATAGCATGTCAACATAACATGGAAATTATTTTTCATATCTCATATTTCAAGATGTTTTCAGCAATATTTTTCATTTCTCATTTCAAGTGTCAGTAGGCATTTAGAATTATACATAATTTAATATGCAAATTGCAACTCTGATACTTATACTTTAATGCATATTAAGTTACATTCAATGTGTTTTCAGTGTTTTTGCAAGGAACTGAATGGTCATAAAATTTGTTTCTAACCAAAGACTTTGCATGACTTCTTTTAGATATAAAATTATTGAAAATCACAGTATAGGATGCATGTAACAAGAATATAGGCTTGCTTAAAAGCATTCAATGATAAAATTGTCTTCTGGAGTTAGATAATTCCAAATGAAATTATTTACAAAATAAGTCATATTTGATTCATTATTTTTCATACACACTATCCTTGATATTAAATTCATCTATTCACCTTTTTACTCAATACTGTTTGTTCCCAATTCCAACAGATTTTATTGAACTAGAAATGATAAAGTAATGTTCTAGCAATACAAAAAATGAGTGCCCTTTTATATTTTGCCTGCATTTAAAAACAGAACACCATTCTTGCAATTATCTTTTTCTTAAAACTAGAATCAAAGTGTACATTATACAGAAGTAAGAATACAAAACAAAACAAACAAAAAAAAAACTATAATGAAAAAATATATATATATATTCTTTTAATGCCTAAAATAAGAATATATTTCTCCATACAAAATCCAATATAAATGTTTTAACACATTTCTTCAGATTGTAGCCAGTCAGACTTGAGATGTAACTTTATTTATTAGTTGATTTATATTTCACTGTTCCCTTAAAAGAAGAGTCTTTTTCGGAGTTGTCAGGGAAACAGAAATAATCTAAGCAATATCCTATCTCTACTAATCACAAAATGAAACAGGGATTTGTAGCTGTGGATCAATTTATAAAATTAATTCATTCAGGCTACTGAAACTCTAAATATCCTTAAGTACATTTTTTGCCCACAGATTACAGAAATGTAAATGAATTGACAGATGAAATTATTAGTTATTAAAATGCCCAGCAGGTTTATAAAATTTATGTAAATACTGAAAAACATTAGTTTCCTTTGTAATTGTAATCAGAACACCATGAATGTATTAAGAAAACATTCCTAATGTCTTTTAATGGACTTTATTTATAGCAAAATATAACCGAAATTTATTTTGAGAATTTTAATTAACTGAAAAGGTTGAGGCCAATGAATTAAAAACACTGCAGGATCAAAGAATAAAAACAATCCCAAATGTTTTCCTAACATTTATTAGCACACAAATGTTTTTCGCCTTCCATAAATAAAACATACCTCACATTGTATGATAACAAGAAAATTTACTTTGGCAAAATTTAAAAAAAGTACTTATGTTCCCGCACTTTCGAGATTCGAAAACAAAAACAAATCAGCTAGATATGTTCAGAGCGTTATGCTTGTATTTAAATCTTCTATACGATCTGTCAAAACATTTTACCAAAAAATACAAGAAACTTATTATACAGCTCATCAAAAAGTATGTTTGAAATGCTGTTTTCAAGATCCTAGCCATTTCCATCAACAGATTAGAAATAATCTACGCAATATTCTATCCCTACTAATCACAAACGAAACAGGGATTCCTTGAAACTCCCGCGTAATATCTCCAAAATGATTATTTATTCACCAAGGAGATAAGGAGGTAACGGTCTGGAAGGTATTTTAAAAATTCGACCTTATTATAAGCCGAAACAAAATATGTTTATTTACTGGAACTTAAAATGAGGAGAAGGAATTTTAAACATCAAGAGAGTTATTACTCGTCCTTTATCTTATCTATGTTTATAAGAGAGGAAGCACTTGGAAATTCCGAAACAAAACATGACAGGAAGTAATAAAAAAAGGAAAGCATCGCTTTCGGCGGGTTTTTGATCATGATTCCGAAGAGAGTTGTATATTTATTAGAATATTACTTTCTTATGATGGCAAATAAACGTTGTTGAATAACCGATCTTCCTAAATACAGTTTTGAATTAGTCTATACTATCATTTAATGATAAAAAGGTCATAAAAGACGGACTTAAGAAACGGACTATACCAATTTAACCAACACCAACAAAATATACCAATAGTTTTTCTGCAAAGTATATACTTTATATTGTTTGTTACATTATTAATTTAAAATAGTACATGGTACCATATCGAAAGAAAATTTTTCCTATCTAAATAATGATTTTAAAGATTAAATATAAATAGATATTGAATGAAGAAAAACTATTAAAAAAATTTTACCACAATAACTTTAAACTGATACACGAAATATTTACCTAAATATTAAATTAACAAATAATATATTTTAAGCTAAAATAATTTAGAACACCAAACGATGTTCAATCTGACAGGTAAAATTAAGCATAACAGACGTTGAACAAGCATCTGATTAATATGTATGCATCTTGCAAGCACAGTAGCCTATTACTAATGCGGAAAATATTTACTGAATATTAAGTTAACCAGTACATAGTAACTTAAGCTAGTTAAGGAAACTTCGAAAAATGACCAATTCAATGACCGGTAAAATCAATATCTTTTGCAACTTAAAATCACTTGTACACGTCTACATCATTTAGCATTTCTCCACTTTTCTTTTTCAAGAAGCAGGATTTCATCCATGCTTATATGCACCACTGGTCACGACTTACCTACTTCAGCTGTATTTGAAATATGCACAGTACTCCAAAAATATAGTAAAATTAAACACAGTTTGAAGATCCTATCCTTAGAAAAGAGCACATCCATTATTGAATGTTTGTTGGGCTTATCCTTGTAGAAAGAAGTCTGTTATACCATCAATATATATTAGTAAAATAAACTATATAAAATTCATTCACATATAAAAGATCGTGCTGTTTAACATGCACATCGCCAGCTTTCGTGGCGACTTCCCTCCACCGATGATATGATCCACAGGTTCGAGAGCATTTCACTAAACGCCGCGGTTATGGCAACTACCTTGGAAGGACTGCCGCATTTTTCTGAACGCATTTTGTCGCCAAGCTGCTACACATTTCGCGCCACATAGCAACCAGAGTTTGGCGATTGAAACGCGTCGTTTTTTCATCTGAGATCTGAATAGCTAAAACAGTACGTATCCATCGTACAGTGTTTGTTACGTATTTGATCATCCCTGAAAATATTTTGATAGTTAATGCAAAAGTTTAATTTTTAGCATGAATATTTATGTTAAAATAAATATTAATAGCATATAGTAATATTAATATCCATCCTGGAGACCTAAATAGCACACACACAAAGCAAAAAGAAAAAATATCTCAAATGTTTTACATTTTAACGGTTGCTCAAAAGGATTTGTTAAGGTTTTTTTACGCTCTCGCTGGGCTCGCAGTCTACCAATCTGCTGTTGCACTCACCTAACGCTAACGTATTTCTTTCTGTCGTTTTAGCTTTATTATTAAGCATAAATTTCTTCGCACTTACGCCACAATTCAACAACAAAATTACAAAAAGTTTAAAAGCAGCATATGTTTAGAAATCCCGATAGAGTGTTAAGTGGTGGCATACACCTTTTTTTTCCCCCTCAGTCTTTTCTCAGTTCAATTTTCTTAATAAAATGGCTTGCAAAAGTTTTTTTTTTTTTTTTTTTTTTTTTTTTTTACTAATAATGTTTCATGAGTTAAATTTATTAATTAAATATCATATTCTTATTCTTAGCACTTACGTCACATAAAATTCCGTTGAATAGCAAAATCACAAAATATTTAAGAAGAACATATCTTTAGAATTTCCGATATACAATCTCGCGCGCTGGAGATAACAGTATTTTAATTTCTACAGTATTGCTACTGCTGTCTTTCAAATAGTTGAGTTTGTTTAAAATTCATCAAAGTTTTACAGAATATGAAATATAAAATTCGAAATTAAAAATTTCGGCTTCCAGATGTACATAATCGGTTGGAGGACATGCGTTACTCAAAATTTGATGGCTCAAGTACTGTCGTTTTTTTTTTTTTTTTTTTTTTTTTTTCCTCCACAGTACAAGAAACATATATACATTCATGCAAATTTTTCATTATTTAATTTCTTTAAAGGTAATACAGGGCGATAATATTTCATAGCAACAATTTGAAAAGTGATTCAGGCATTTAAAGTGATACGCTGCCAAATTTCGTTTCGAGACTACTAACTAATTCGGGCGAACACACTTTGTGCTAATAAGTCACTAAAAAGTAAATAAATAAAAATTAATAACCTGTAATTTTAAAACTTGAGATTACAGTCAAGTTTAACCTCACAGAGGAGTTTACAATTAAACATTTTTTAAATATGAAAGAAAAGGGAAAATTTCGCTTCATAAGGGGGATTATTTGGATTAAGGCAAAGCACGCTAAAATCCTAAGGGAAGATACACATTCCTGACTTAGCAATATCTTGATTCTAAAAAAATGAGCAGGATATTGCCTTCCAACCGAGATAGTAGTTAAAGAGTATGACTGCCGTACCGAAGAGTCCGGCTCGAATGCCGGAGAAAGCACCAATGTTTGTAAATGTGTAGTGTTAGTGCGGCATGGGAGCACTCTAAATATGCAGCGAAATCCTCTCGAGAGATTAGTGATAGGGAAAAAGGGATGGGGGACCCTCGGAACTGTCCTCCCGGGGTGCTCTCACTCAGAAATGGGAGCGGAACTGAGCTAAAATCGGGCTGTCACCTATATGGTACTTAAGGTTCTTGTTAATGACAAATGAATTTGACTCCATGCCATGATGAATGACATACGCTGTGGGTTTGTGCTGACTTTTGTCAGACAAATGAAATTCGCAAATAACATCAACATTGCTAATATGAGCAGCACATTCGTGAAGAACTTTCTAAAAGAAACTGACTTGTCTGCTCATTTGTTCGCGTACAAATGGATGCCAGCAATGAGACCTGAAAATAGCTTTATTTCCTTATTAAACAAATCTCTTTTCACTGTCAATCGCCAAGGAAACTTTACAACACGTGTCACAATGCACGAATCAGACGCCGCGATGAAAACTGTAATAAATATTACACTCCTACTTAAAAAAATAAGCAGTAAAGGCAAATCACAGAATAAAACCAAAACTATTTAATGGATATGCATGAAACCAATCCAACAGGTTGGTGTAGCATTGCTAAACTACATATCAAACAATAATGCAATGACATACAAAAACACATGTATTATGACCATCACATCGCGGAAGACCAAACGGGTCGGAGGAATGCGCAATGGAAGCGTCAAGCTAATAACGGGTATGATACCCTCTAGTTGAAATGCATGCTTGACAACAAGTATGCTATTAACAGTGTGGTTGATCGCTTTGCTGCGGCAGTAATGCCCATTCCTTTAGTACGGCATTTCGGAGTTCGTGAAAGGTGCCTGGCAGCACACTGCGACCTGCTATCCATCATTCCCAACATGTCTTCATATGCTGTATGGGATTCAGGTCCGGTAATCTAGCAGGCCACAGCAGATGTGAAAGTATTTCACTCTCCAGATAACTCCGCACCACTCAAGCTCTATGCAAGCGGGGGTTGTCGCCCAGTAGTATCCATTGCAGGAATAAAAGAATGCAAAAGAGGGTGTAGAATTTCGTCGCTATATCGGACAGCTAAGATGGAACCACCAGGAATCACATAGAGATCAGTGTGGCCGTTCGTTATTATCCCAGCTCCTAAAAGTATGCCTCCTCCTTTATAATGGTCTTTTTCGACGATCTTTGGCGTCCGATAGCATATCTCTGGCTCCAGAGCCTCATTAAGGCAGGGAAATACGGGGCTGTTGTCCAGAGCCCCCACATCAGAGGGAGCCCCAAATAAAATAGAAAGTTTATTATTATGAAAATTTAAATACCTCCATAAAGTTCGGTTGTTCTTTACTGAAATAGTGACGCAGAAGGGGGCCCCTAAAGACGTTTTTGCCCGGGCTCCAATTAGGCTAAGTCGGGCCCTGCCTGGCTCTCGCCATATCTTTACTCTTCGGGATTCGTTCTAGATATTAAATTGAGACTCATCCGGGAAGAGTACTTGGTCCCACTGCCTGGCTCTCGCCATATCTTTACTCTTCGGGATTCGTTCTAGATATTAAATTGAGACTCATCCGGGAAGAGTACTTGGTCCCACTGCTTCGGTGTCCAACTGCGATGTTCACAAGCTTAACCGCTCTCTGACAGGCGATGGGGACAAAGAAACACAAACTGCATGTCGTCATGCGTACAGTCTAGCTTCATGCAATCGATGCAACACAATTTGGCGAGATATAGGTCGTCCTGCAGCAACGGAGAGTTGCAATGCCAGTTGTTGTGCTGTTAGTGATCTACTGCGTCTTGCGCATAGTAACAGGAAGCGATAGTCTGCTGGTGTGGTAATTCTCCGGCGTGCAGACCCACGTCTTCTACAGGGGTTTTGATCCCTTTGATAACGATTCCACAGCCTGCTGATGACACTACAATGCATATTCAGCTCTCTCGCAACAGCGGATTGTCTTGCACCAACCTGCAACATCCTGACAGCTCTCCAAAGCATTTCTTCGTGGAAATGGTGTCTTCGGCTCATGCTTTCCGCTTTGGCTATCTCCGATATACGGAATTATCTCTGCTTGCGAACTGACGCATAGATGCGGCATGCCCCTTTTGTAATGCGCTGCGGTGCGACTGCGGGATTGCGTTTCATGCTAAATTTGGTTGCTTATTTGCATTTGGCAATTCAACCTCTACCTCATATGTAAATTGTATGTTTTAATTCTACTTATTACATTCGTACTTTTTTATTTTACCATTTGTTGCTTATTTTGCACGAGTGTGTTATATTCTTTCATCTGTTCAGGAGAACTGAACCAGAGAAAATGTTAAAACTTGTCGGATGTTATTAACAGTGATTACAGCAAGGTTGTTTTACATATTTCGATGCAGTTCTGAATGTTTTTTTTCTTTAAGCCAAAAAATTCTTTTGTTTTTAGAAGAAAGTAATAAAGTATATCGCGAACTTAAAAATTTGAGGTTGTTGTGGTGTACTTTAACCTTTCTGGCTCGAGATCGCAGAAAAACTTAAAAACCTCAGTCGTGGTTTGTAAGATGAAAATAAAATTACTTGGCAGATAAAAACAATGTATTTATCTTATATGAGAAACTAATAAGTATTTATTGCCAAGCTATACAAAAACAAATATTGCATAATTTCCCAACCAATGTCTAAAAACTATGCAATAATTTCAAATTACTGGGCCGCCTTATACGAGGAATTTAAAAGCATACTTCAAGATTTGAGAAATATAAAGAACTGTCTGTTACTTGTAGGAAACTCCTAGAATTTAAAAACAGCAATGATTATGAAACTGGCTATATTAAAATACGATTATGCAACGCAATTTGATGCATGCATAGATCTCAGAAAATATGAATTTGTAGGTTATTTGTAAAGAGAAGAGAGAGGAGGAGTGTGAATTTTGGAAATTAATGCTTGAAAAATAGGAGACTGTGGAAACGTATGCGCGAAATGTTGCTCACGTTTTTCCCATCAAAATGTCTTTCTGAATCATCCTGTCCTAAAATAGTAAAATGTGGTGAACAGCTTACATAGAAATCACTTATTGATTCTGATGTATTAAGAGTAGTAAGTAACAATGTAAACCTAGTTAAAAACAGTAAAAGGTTTGTCTCAATACAAAATTCACATCGATTTTCAAATAAGTCAGGCGACTTATCGTGACATTGATTTAATGTTTTCTACTCTCAAGTCTTATTGGAAGCATGTGGCTTGTGAGAAAATAATGGTTGATTGAAATGCTGAATATCTTACTTCTTCGAAGGCCCGGTGAACTAAGAGATTTTTGTCAAGTCGCTGAAAGACTTGAATGTAAGCATTTTCAACCGGATTATAAACTTGCTCAGATTTTGATCGGTCATGGGAATTTTCGAATTTACTTACTCGGTTTCGATATTGTG